TATACAGTATGTCAGACTCCTTCTCGGCGTCTTTGATGTCAGTGTGACTGGCCGTCTTGTTCCTATAGGTCAATACCAGGATTTAATTAAATTTTGAGTGTATATAATATATAGTTGCATTTTTCGCAGCTGCTCCTGGTTATTGTAGCTCTAAATAAATATATAAAATTTACACTCAAAATTTCCATCTACAAAATCCTTTGTTATGTTCGCTAAAGAAAGGCTGGCACCCCCTAAAAACAGTCAAAATGGCGGGCTTAGTTTCAACACAATTTTCCAGTTTCGATGGATAAGCGGATGAGTTTGTCTCGTTTGTGCACTGGCTAGGAACATAGCGGGCAGTTACAGATCTCTGTATACTGTGCGATTAATATTATATAGTTAGCAGGGTTCGAATTAACAGTGTGCAATGTGCACATCGTTTTAGACCAAATACTCAAATAGTGAAAATTGCATATCACTTTTCTAAACGATGTGCAAAAAAATCAGACTGGGACTATTAATTAAATTAATGAACATCCATCGATATTTATAGATTTAAACAAAGCCAATCTGTTGTCTTTAATCTGTTGTCTTTAATTTATAAACAAGTGCTTTTGCATGCACACTAGTAGCTTGTTTAAGCCTAGTTTCCATTTGGTCGTTAGTTGTCGCTGGCACGACAAGCGGTAGATGTGAAATAGTCTAATATCAATAGTCTTTTTGTGTGTTATATGCAAATCAGTCTTAATGATTGCAGAGTTTTATAAAGTTTTGTTGACACTCTATTACATCAGCCACTTGTCATGCCAGCAACAATTAACGACCAAATGGAAACTATAGGCTTTACAGACTGGAAGGTGTCAAATTGTAGCCACCGTGACTCTGTATATCAAAGATATTGCAAACTATGCACTGCCAGGGACGTCGTGAAGCCATCAACATTGGGGGTGGCATCGGGGGGGTTTTGACCAACATTTCCTAGAATTTTGACCAAGTCGTACACATTTTTCCTGAAAATGTTGTAGACAGGGGGTGCGGGGGGAGGGAGGTAAAAAAAATTATCAGGACTAACATATGCATAGTCAGAGAAGCATAATCAAAAAATTTTTTCCGGACTTACATAAGCATATTCAAAAAATTTTGACCAAGATAAGCAAGCTAGACTTTCAATTTTTTCACCGCAACCATAACAAAAGCTTTAAAATTGTTAAAATTGCCAACCATTTCATAACTTTGGGCAACTTCGACCATCTTTTATCCCAAACTTTGATCAAATTTTTCCGCGTTTTACCTTCAATTTTAAAGAGGCTGTCAAGTCCGTAATGTAAACAAACGCTTTGTTTACATTTTGAACTCAGTGCTACAGTTGTAAAATATGATTACATATATATTATACTGAATTTTTAACACTTTCTGGTTCGCTATGCTTGTAAATGAATACAGACTATAAGAGATTCAATTCAAGAAAGTTCAAAATATACGAAATATTAATAACATTCCAACGGTCGGGTCCCGACCATTGAAATGTAAGCCTGCGCAGAATGTATGTGCAGAACGGACTTGACAGCTTCTTTAAGCAAATATCAGTTCCATTTTGACCAACTTTGGGCAAATACCAGTTCCATTTTGACCAACTTTGACCAACGTTTGAATTATTGGGGGGTGTTACACCCCACACACACACCTCCACACCCTATAGCGACGTCCCTGAAACTATGTTTAAAAGTATTCAAATCATTAAATTATGCTTGACTGAGTAGCTAAGTCAATCATGAACCTATTAGGCCATATTTTTTTTAAAAAAGTTGCACATCATTCTTTCTCAACTAATTTGAACCCTGATGCAGTAGTTAAGTAAATCACATGTACTTGGAGAATGTTTTGGTACAATCATACTAACCAAACATTCGATACCCTGATTTTAAAGCATCATCCACTGCCTTGAACACAACATCATCACCATCACTTGACCGTGTTTGCCAAGTTCCTACTATAAAATAACAAAATAGCGTAGGAAAATGAAAGTTTATGACTTGAGAAGTACTAATAAAAAATGGCAATGCCAATGGTCTTTGCTAATTTATAAATGGCAACATGGCTTAGCATTTGGATCTGGTGATGTTTCCCTTTGCTTAATTTTTAAATGGTGCAATATATATGATCATTGGAACACGTCAAAGATTAGCTAAAATTCCAAGAAATACATAGCTCTGTAGCTCGGTCAGGTTACCGTTGCTACTGTAATTTCTATAAACAGTGACGCAGCTTAGCAAATGGGCATGGTCCCTTCTTCATGACAACATAGCTTGGCATCTGGGCCTTGGAATTAACATTAATTGTACCTGAGTTAGTGACAGTTGGGGGGGGGGGGGGTTACACCCACCACCCCCCAGTCACTATTCGCTATGTCCCTGCCTGGAGGCATAGCTTAGCCACTGGGTCTTCTCCCTAATATGCTAACTTTGAAATATGAAGCCATGATGAACTTGAAAGGGCATATGGGAAGGTGTGATACTGATAACATAGCATGGCAACACTTTGAACTGTGCGGAGGCAGTTGGGTGCAGCAGACCTGTCAAGTTTAGAGAAATTTTATGCGGGAAGGTAATTTCCTTTGGTTAGTGTCCACGAGGCGCCACCATGGTTGGCGCGCACAGGGGGAAATTTTGAAATTGGAGTTCCCCAGATCGCCAGAAAATTGCCTTTCCGACGTTTTTCTTCCACCTTTTTCGAATCACAAACCTTATGTGTTCATGCTATAAAAATATGAAATGTTAACGTCATGCTTCCGCCTCACGACTCAGGCTTCTTCCAGTTTGTTGTCTTTTTTTTATATGCGATTGAGACACACATTTTTAAGACTTCTCAAGACTTCTGGGCACTGGCGTTGGCAAAAAGAATGCATTGGACATTGTGCAAATGAAAAGAAATGGGAGTAATTGCCCCACAGGAAGAAGGGAAAGTACAAAACATGGACCCCCGGTCCATGGACCCCTTGTCTGGACCGGGTCCATGGACCCCCTCTATGGACCAGGTCCATGGACCCCCTCCATGGACCAGATCCATGGACCCCCTCCATGGGCCACATTTTTCCAAATTTCAATATTACTGTTAAACATGATTCGAGTTTTCAATTTTTAAAAATATTTTAGTGGTTTTAAAGCATACTTTTGTTCTTAGCAGCAAACCTCATCTACAGTACACTCCAGTGTTTTCTTCATACTAAAGCGAGGCTTGCTAACGACGTATCATGACAAATCAATGCACCATGTGAATAATAATAGTGTTACTAACTTGCAAAGCCGGTCAATGATCACAGCCTATATGAAATTAAAGAAACCACTGCCAGCAAAGTGTTGAAATAATAAACCACTTTCATTGATTGTGCATCTTAATTAGCCTTCTTGGTTCAATATACAAAAAAGTGTTTCAATTCATCTCTTATGAAAGTGGTCTAAAGGCACTGTTCATAATCAGCAATTTGATTTGCTTCGATTAATACATTTTTGTGAGCTGTGTACTAGCTAGCTGGATGTATTTGTTATTTGGAACAAATTAATAGAACATTTTGACCTTGCAAGTAAATTTGTTTTCTCCCTGTACAGGGTTATTTATATTCAGGTGTATTCAAAATTCCTGATAACATTCATTCATAGATGGGGCCATTGAAGAATCACGGGTCCGTGGACCCAGTCCATGGAGGGGGTCCATGGAGGGGGGCCATGGACCCGGTCCAGACAAGGGGTCCATGGACCGGGGGTCCATGTTTTGTACTTTCCCCAGGAAGAAACCTCCACAAGTTAACTAGTTAAGTTTAAAAAATGCGGGAAGAAAGTTGCTTCATGTGTGATGCATGAAAGCAAACAAAAATGCGGGAATTTCACAGTAATTGCAGGAAACTTGGAAGGTCTGGCGCAGTTCACAAGTGTGAGGAATTAGTTACTTGGATCATTTTGGTGGTCTCATTCTAAAGTCGTGTTTACACTACAAGCCTTGGCCTGGCCTTGGCCTACATTTTGACAGTGTAAACAGACTTTGGCCTAGCCTTGGCCTGACCTAAGCCAGGAAATCTGGGCCCACTACAAAGCTGTGCTTGTGAATACCCCCAGGTCCCCCACCACGATCAGGTACATGCCAGATAGTCATATGCCCCATAGCATCCCTGGAAGGGTGTGGGGGGGATACCCACACATGCGTTTGACGTAATATATGAACAAAGAGAGCGAGTGTTTCACCGGGATATCCAAATGTTCACGAGAAAACATGTTTGGATATCCCGGTGAGACACAAGCTCGAGTTGTTTATATGGCTTCTCAAATGAATCGAGACGTAACAGAATGTTTTCGTTTGCTGATTTGAATAGAATTCTTAACCAAGCTTAACGTAATTAGGAATTCTATTCAAGTAATTTTGCATGCGTAATTAAGATATTTGATGAAAACACTAGTGACTTTCATCAAGTTTCACCGGGTTATCTAAATGGTCCTAAATGGCATCTTGTGATCAAATAGGTGATTATCATTGGTGATTATCATGAATTATTAATAATTTGAGAATGATATCGTCCATTGTTCATCGATTTCCAATATCAAACAATATACGAATTTACTATATAAAAGGGGATAGATTTAATTCAGAAACCTGAAACCATATACTATTTAATAAATACGTACAACCCATCATTGGCATTGTCTGACCAGAATTCAAAACACAACTCGATACAAGACCAGCAGCCATTTTTCAATTCTGTATGAAATGTGTAACTTTATGGGCACCTTTTCGTTTTGCGAAGCTTGTTGCACACTTGCACACAATTTTTGAATTTTTCCAACACCAAAATTTTATATATCTATCAACCTTCGTTTGTTATCGGAAAATGTCGTTGGTCGTTCGACACACCATCGTCTCTCACAAAATGGCGGGAATATATTTGGCGGGAAAATAGCGAATACAAAAAATTAGTCGAAATTCTGAAAACAAATAGTTTTTCACCACAATATTCAGTTTTTTTTCACAAAATGGACTGCAAAAGAACTTGGATTCAATGTAGTAACAACTCATGTGGAAAATGGAGGGTTGTTCAAGACGAAATTGCAACGAAATATGCAGATATCCCATGGACATGCGACATGAACGAAGATCCACACTATAACAAATGTACCGTACCTGAAGAAAAAGTCGACGTTCCGCGTGGAAAAAAAGTTGTGGTAACGAAATTTCCGTATGACAAAGGCGACATCGTTATGGCAAAAATGGCGGGGTATTGCCTGTAAGTTTTACATTACTAGATAAAGTTAAGAAAAAGGCAAAACATTTAACCATTTACGTCTACTTTTTTATATTAAGTACTCTTGTTGTCTTGCATATTAATTGTTTCACAACATATATATAACTGATCATATAAGAGTATTTAAAAACAATTAAAAATCTTTTTATCTTCACCGAATTTTAATATAAAGTTTTCTATACGTTTTGTTCGGTTGTAATATTAAATACTCAACAGTTAAATAGCCCAGAGTGACGTCTTCACTTGCTTGTTTGAGCGAGGTTTTACCGTATTAAAAGCCCGAAGGCTGAGGTTCTCAAGTTGTTTATATCATGGTATTTTGAAAATTGTAATAAACGCGAGGGCAAAGACCAAAGTTCGAAACCGATTCATTTTCAAAATATTATAGAATGTGATATAAGAACGTTTTTCGTTTTGAGAACGGCAAAGGTGCGGGAATCGAGAATGAGAGTTAAATTTTAATAAAACGATATATCGTGCAGTGCTTCCACTTTGGCAAAGCAAAAATTCTCGTTTTTGTCCTTTTTTTTCCGCAAAATTTCCTTCGCAAAATCCTAAATTTCCTTCTATTTTTCCTTCCAATCTCAGTTTAAAATAGTATAGTAAATTTTGTATTGTACTTTATTCCGATGTAAATTGAAGGTGTATACTGCAGTATTCAAATAGTGAATCTCTAATTTAACCTGAAAAAACATGTTCTATTGTCTCATTTTTTGTCTGTTTTCTCGAACGACATAGTACTTAATTAAACGACTTTTTTATGAATTTGCTTTTGGACCAGACATTTGTCCTGCACGCTTTCTACTCCGTTTGCGTTTGAAAACTACTTGAAGCTTCATCTTTTGATGAGCCTGACTAGATGTTCAATGACTAAATATGAGCCGGCATCATAATTTATAAATTACTTTTTTTGGTTTAGAAATTACAGTTTCCCTTTTTTCAACTGTTTGTTTTTTGGGTTATAAAAATTAAAAACTCGCGAAAAAATTGAGCCCCCGTTATTTATGTACAAGTACTCTACTCACTCACTCACTCACTCACTCACTCACTCACTCACTCACTCACTCACTCACTCACTCACTCACTCACTCACTCACTCACTCACTCACTCACTCACTGAAGACCTGTTAAGTCCCAAATTACCCCCATTCATCCTTGATAGTTATGTAAATATCCAAAGTATTGTTTTTATAAATGTTTTTGAACTCAAAAGTTCATAATAAAGTGTTTAACCATTATTAAACTACTAGAAATTACTGAAAAAGTTTATATTGTAAAATTTCCTTCCCTTTTCCTTCCAAATGGCCGAATTTCCTTCCAATTTCCTTCCAAATCTTATTTCCTTTTATTTTTCCTTCCAAATGCCAAAATATCCTTTTGGAAGGAAATTTCCTTCCGAGTGGAAGCTCTGATATCGTGTATATAAACCATTGCAGGGGCCGGAACAGGTGGGAAATTTGTCTGAGCATGCGCGAGCAAAATGAGCCACGCAATTGCGTGGAATACACGCAACGCGTGTTTACAAAAAGCAGCAATTGTGTAAATACCGGTATTGCCAAATGTTTGGTACAAAATAAATTACTGTTCTATGTTGAAAATGGACATGATCTAAATTTTAGTCATACAGAATTTTTTAGTGATATTCTATTTCAGTACCCTGCCATTGTCTCTGGTGTGCTGTCCGTGTGCATTCGATCTGAAACAGTTGCTACTTTGCTGTCGAAACATTTCGAATGTTTACATGAAAATAGAGACAAGTCATGCATTTTATAACCTCGTAAGCTCTGTGAGCCCCTATTTTTACGCTTATACTTAAGATATCAAATAAAAATACATGAAACAGAGAACATTTTTAGAAAGTTTTATCGTGAGGCCACGGACAGTTTTTAAAATATTTTCATTTATTTTCCGGTCATCACCAAACTTACACTGAAGCCGGGCTTGAATATACAACAAATTTTGAATCTCATCAAGTACAAAAATATTTAACGTGTAACCAAAATATGCTCATGAAATGGAAATTAAGAGCTAAATTTTCAAACTAGACCCTTCTCGAGGTGGTTTCATGAAGGAAGTTCACCTTTCGGCCTTTGATTCTTGGCAAAAATTTGACCGCAACACGTGCGAAGCAACTGGGTCTCAAAGACTAAAACATTGTGAGCCCCTATTTTCCTGAAGACATGTTTGATACCTACAAACGCCGAAAATGTTTTTCTTTTCATTTAGCTATATTTGAAATTGAGGCCACGGCCCACGGGCTATTTTTAAGAAAATACAGTTCGAAGTCAAGTTATTTTTACATATTTTCAAAATGTGTCGAATTTCGCGAGCTTGTATTTTGAACTTAGACCGCTGAAGTTACATTAAGAAACATAGGATGGTCAATTTGAGGAATATAAAATAAATTTCAACTTACATTTCATTCTCATATCACTTTTTCTTCGTTTATTACGGTTTTAAGCAAGCCATAGCTCGACGTATACGGTATTTACTCCCATGTTCACGTCGCCATATTCACTTCTTCCAATCACTCAATTACAAAAAAAAATCATCCCAAAACAAAGAATTCATCATCAATTTTTAAAAGAATAACTGTTAATTTGTGAATCGTTGAATGGAAAGCAAAAAATCCTCAGGTAAAAAATTTCCCACCTGTTGTGCAGGGGCGTTAGGGCGTAGGAACAGGGGGCACGTGCCCCCTCCCCCCTCAATTTGTTCAAAGTGCCCTTTTTTGTGATGAAAAGTGCCGTTTATGTACAAGCTAATGTTGCTGTAAATACTATATTAATATCGAAGGTGCTCTTTTTGTGAGGAAAGGTCGATAGTTTAAAAAAATTTGTTCAAAAACGTTCATTGTACGTTGGAATTCGAAAATTTTTCTCCCGTTTTTCTTCCCGTCCCCTTCGCCAACATTTCCGGGAAAATATGTTTAGATGCCCTTTAATATCACTTTCAAAAGTACCCCTGGAAGCTGATGCCGCCTCCCCCCATCTTTTGATGCTTCGTATACACCCCTGATGACGTGTTAGTAAAATTAAATGTTATTGCTTTAAACAAGAACAAGAGTTGCATGAGAGTTGATGAGAGTTGACTGGATATTATCGCGCGCGTTGCGAAAACCTCTTCAACTCTTATTAAAATTTGAACCTGTTCAAAGTCGACACTAGAGTTAGTAGAGTTGATGAGATGAAGATTGGCAGTCAAACGATCATAAGCTAAACTTTAGTGGTCACACTACATATAAGAACACGCAATGTTCGTAAACTGCTTGAACTTAATCTAGTATACTCTCCTAAAATCCTAATTCTTGCGCAATAACGAAAATTATAAAGGTTAGCACTCAGGGCCATTTTTAAGAATTCGTCAATGGGGAGCAGTGGCGTGCTGGCAGGGGGAGGGACGTGGGGCGCAAAAATGAAAAGAGGGCGCCGATCCCGCGCCGAATTTTGAAAGTGGGTGGGAAAAAACGCATTCGAAAAAATATAGTTACTTCCGCCAAGAAAAGATGTGTTTATAGGCTTATAAACAGACTAAACGCATAGGCGACAAAGTGATATATAAATTACAGACTATTTGTCTAACCGTATTTGCTAATTTGCTACCTCACGGCGCGCGGCTAGCACGAAATCGTTCATATAGAAACATGATCAGTGATCACACGCAATGTACGTCTCATTATCGGAATATTGGTCAGGTTTCGAAGCGATCACGGGAATTATGCCCTTTCTGCTGGTATTATGCCCTTATATTATGCCCTTCATTCTGCTTCACGAATCACGAGAGCGGCGCAAATTAGATAGTTGAAGTTATGATAGTGTAAAGTTGTGTACGCAATTTAGTTGTTTACGCAAGAAATATCATGAGTAATGTAAGTAATGAGACAATGCTGAAACGTGCCTGGCCCCTTTTGGCAGCCAGGCAAGGAAACCTTAAAATGCATATGCGTGGGGTCCGTGTGTTATTGTATAAAGAGCTGTAAGTTGTAAATGTATTCAGATCAGTAGAGATTAGAATTGGGATTAGATTAATCGCTGGAATAGTTAGCATTGCCCAATTTAAGTACTACTACTAAATTCTAACCAAATTGCAAATGTCGACACGTTATAATGCCGTTTCCTGACCATCAGATTTCTATCAAATGGCTTCCCCAAAGTCCAGGGAATGGCATTTCAGAGACTCTCAATTCAAAAATTTTCCTTGGGGGCATGCCAACGGACGCCCCTAGACAAACCTCGCACCTGCGGCGCTCGGCTCGTGCCCTCGGCCCTCGTTTATCAAGCGTAACATTATAGGGGCGCATATTGGTTGACAGCCCATTGCTCCCCCCCCCCCCCAGAAAAATAGTACCCAGCACGCCACTGATGGGGAGGGGGTTCTACAGAAGGGGACCATACTATACTGAGTGTGGAGAGATGACGGTGTCGTATGTGATAGTAGGGGCCTAGGGGGCTCATGGGGAATTGTCCCCCAGAAAATAATGGTCTTATATTTCCACCCGTAGGACTGCATTTCATGCGTTTTCGATTCTGATACAGATTTTAGGATATACAGTGTCATATTATACTGTAGATACTAGATAGATAAGTACTTGCATGGTATGTTTATGTAGATACCACAACTCGGTCGACTCAAATCTATAGAGTTGGGGATGTGCTTTCCTCTGGGAAATTTTTAAAAATTTTGAAATAAAAGGTATTTATTAGCATTTTTAAGAAGATATTGAATCATTTGAAGATAAAAGACATGAGAAAAGATTCACAAAGCAAGGTTCAATTACTAGAATATCAACCTCCCTTCATGTTTCGTCCAATATTTTGCTTATATTTTAGAGAAAAGGAACCTTGACTGGGGAGGGGGGCAAAATGGTTGACTGCAGGGGGCACCATGGGGGGCTGGAGAGGGGACTCCCCCCAGGTATATAGTTAAAAAAGGCCCTGTTAGCACTTTTATTCATTTTTTAAATTGAATGTTTTTTAGGTGGCCGGCCTTTATTACTCCTGATCCTAACTGTGACGAATATTACGATGCCGTACTGAATGATAACGACGAACAGGAAGAGATCACTCATTTCCATGTAGAATTTTTTGGTCGACCGAGAACTCATGCGTGGATAAAGTCAGATAATGCGTTTCCTTACACTGGATATAGAAGGACGACGATTAAATCAAAATGGAGAAGATCATACAATATTGCAATGGAAGATGCTCTTAAGTGGCTACCTTTAACCTGTCAAGAAAGACTTGATAAATGCGCATTTAGGTATTTGGGAACAAGTGGCACAGAAGAAGGTGAATATTTTTGTCTTACCAGAATTACAAGCCCTCGCCAGAAATCAAGCAAAATGCCTAATAATATTGTCAGTGACAACAATTCTTTATAATTAGACTCCCGAGCAGTCCCTCGGGAAAAAGGCGGGACCACCGACGCCCACTTTTCGCCCTTGTCAAGTTGGCTCCGCCTTTGCATAAATATTACTTATATCCAATTAAATATATCCAATAGAAACCGTTAATGTCATGTTTATTTATAAAATCAACATCGGTCTGGAATTATTTATGAGCCGATTACATGGAGAACTTTCAACCCCGGGGTTGAAAGTTCTCCATGTAATCGGGTTGAAATCTTTTGCGATTACATGGACGATTTCAACCCCGGGGTTGAAACGCTATACTATACGTTCTCGGCATCGATTCCCGGAAGTAAAAAAGCCTTTATTTTGTTTTGTTGTAACAAATAGTCACTACCACGTATGCTCGAATAAGTCATGATAATTTCAGCGCTGGGTTGAAACGATTACATGACAAAATTTTCAATCCAGGGCTGAAGGTCAACCCCGGGGTTGATATTTCAACCCTGCTAGCTGAAGCAGGGTTGAAATTTCAACCCCGGGGTTGAACTCAGCCCTGGGTTGAAAATTTTGTCATGTAATCGCGCGTTTGATTTTGATAGAGTTTTGTATTACAGACAGGGCTGGAATTTCAACCCGGTAAACAGGGCTGAGTTCAACCCCGGGGTTGAAAATGCTCTATGTAATCGGCCCCTTAATAGTACAATTACTACGTATCAGATTTGATTGACAGGCGTATCGATTTCGACCAGTGGGAATTTTGCGCGTTGTGTGGGCAACGCGTATTTCATTTATTGATGTGTTGTCTGCAGTCCCTCCTTTCCTTTCGCATGCCCGGAAATCTATAGCCGCGGAAAGAAAGGACCGCTCGCAGTCTACTTAATAATATCATTTGGTACCTTTCACACCTTTCTGCATAATATCATCTCAAATGAGATGTTTCAAGTTCCCCTTAATCTGTTGTCTGCACTCAGGCACAAACGGCCAATGAAAGCAAATGGTCTGCCCGCCGCGGTACACCTAAATTGGTGGGCGTAACGAAGGAGGCGAAAGACCGTCTCCCGGGTTAGGCTATATGTATATTAAATTCCTGTCCATCAGTGGACGAGAACTGTATGCCACATGGTATGATACTGCTGTATACAGTACATTTCTTTGCCCATATATAAGTGTAGCATGATCAAGATTTCTTATACAGACAACGAATGTATCTTTTCTTTCTCAGGTACTCTATCTTTCAGGCCGGAAGAAAACACGACTAAGAATATAAAAGTAAGAAGGAGTCGTCGTATACGCAATCTATTATATTTCTTCTTCAATCTGGTAACATCGTTTTTACTTTCTTATATACAGCACGACGGAGGAGCAAGATTTTCCCAAGAATTTAATCTTTTCAATATTGAAAATGGCGTCGAAGTTGATAAGATAAAACTCCCAGTATGGTGTGGGCAGCACATTGACCTGCATAAAATATTTGAGACAGTGAAAAACCATGGAGGTTTTACTGAGGTAAATTAACTGTTAAAAAGCGAGTGATCATCAAAACAATTGCCATTTTAGTACGAAAATTCTCAAACGTGAGAGAAGCTCATGTCAATTTATCAGTTTAATGAAGTTAACGATACTTTGATCTTAAACGAACGGTATCAGGTGGTTGGATAATTAATCTACTTGTAACAGAAATGCAGCGCAATGCATGATCTGGTGAGGAAATAAGTATTAATCAACCTACGGCCATATAAAGCGAACATGATTTGGTCAAATTTGTCAGTTTTCTTAAGAAACGTATATCGGTAAAAGATTGTTATTCTACAAAACATCATTGAATAATTATGAATTAGTTTGTAAATGTTGCTAAAAAACCAACTTGCAAAAATGATTAAGAAGAGGTCAAAATCTTTAAAAAATTTTAAAAAAAATAACAATTTTTTCATGAATTAAATAATTAGAATATCGAATTAGGAATTTGGGTAACCTTTATATTTATACCCATGAAACAAAGAATACATTGATCTCTAAAAAAAGGACTGGGCAGTGGAAATATTATTGGTAAAAACGTACTCCAAATGAAGTTGAAATGCTTCCTGAAAATAACTTCAAATTGTGATATTGTTCACAGGCCCTTCAAATAGAATAAAGTTATAGTAACTACTGTCAGCATTATAGAATTAGCTATCTGCATACATGCATGCATTGATGGGTCTATACATAAATGAATAACTCATAAGTCTTATAATTATAACTGATTTGAGAATAAGCCTGCTGTACACGAAAAAATTATGTCGGGCTGTCATTGTTACGATTCTTTAGGTGTGCAGAAGACATTTGTGGCTGACGTTATGGAAAGGTCTGTTGGGAAACGTTCAATTCTCAAATAAACCGAGTGGAAGCAGTTTGAAGCAGTTTTATGAGAGGTAGATAAACGTTTTTATTGATTTGTGCATGGTTTTGTGTACAATAAATTGCTAAAAAAGTCCCAAATTACATAATGTATCCAATTAAACCAAACAAAATCATTATCCTTTTACTAATCAACGGGCCGCTAGAACTCCGGACATGCAGTAACTACAGCTGCTGCACGCACCAGTTGACGTTGTTGCAGATATCAATATGTGTATGAAAGACTTTGTCATTTTCCTGCATGATGTTAACAGTGTAACAAATCCGCTACATTAATCCATTCTCTCGTGATGTTTGTATACCCTTTCTCTTGTTTGCCGTAGAAATATATTATAAGAACTGTGCACCGTACCAGCCAATAGCCACAATGTGGAAATGCTATTATACCATTATTTTAAACCATTAAACCAATGATACATACAATAGTATTGGGAAAACGAATATTAAACTTGTCTATTTATAGGCTATAATCAACAGTATTCTCGCTTTTAGACACCTTCTTGATTTTGAGCTGTATTTGAAAATGAAGGAAGAACGAGGTATGCTTTGCACTCATAAATAATTGCAGCTAAATGAATAATTTTAAGTTCAATTACAAAATTGACATTGCAACGATCAAGACTGGAACTAAGAAACACCAAAGGTGGATTTTTAAAAATAAACGCGAGCAATATAGGAAAGGTTTTGAACAAGTTTAAAACTTCGAGTCATGAAAGATTATATGAAATTTCAATCAACGTTCAATTATAACCAATTGCACCGATTTCATTTTGGCAATGTTTTAAACATTTATAAATATTTCACGGATTTTAGCCCACAGAATCGAACCTTAAAATGGTATATCCTGTATGTATAAACCATGCATATATATAACGATTTTGTAAATTAAATGTTATTGCTTTAACGATACAAATACATACCTTTCACAGAAAGCCAAATACTGCGCAACTCCCAACAGGAATATGGGCTACAAGGCAATCCAAATATTCCAAAGAGAAGAGGCAGCCCAAGGAAATCAATGCCGATGGGATCAAGTAAACCAGATGTTGTTCTCAGCAATAGAAATTGTGGAGGCTGTGATTCGCCTGATCCAGGGCAGACTTCGTTTCAGTCACAACAATTATCAACTGAGGGAACAACGCCATCAAGGAGAGGCAGAAAAAGGAAGTCAGAAGCAACTGAATCATGTAGATCTATTCTGACGTCTAATACTTCTTCGGCTAGCTATTCAAATCCTAATATCGTAGATGTTGTAGGAAGCAACAATGTTAAGATACTAGGAGAACAAAATGTAGTTTCGTTTCAGCCCATACTCGATAAACTAACTCAGGAAAAGAAACCAAAAAAAAGAAAACCAAAAAAGTTTATTTCACCATTCCTCGCATCTACTGATTCAGACCAGCATGAAAATATACATAAAGAACTAAAGAATACTGAAATAGATGTAGAACAGGCAGTGCCGCAGTTAACAGTTGCAGATGAGAATTTTCATATATATTTGAAGACTGCAGAAGCTGATACGCATGAAACCAGTGTCGCTGTGCCATCTATGATTGCGTTGGATCCTAATCGTTCACCGACCTCTTCCAGTTCGAATAAGGAAGATAGAGATTTCACACCAAGTGCTGACTCAAAAGAAGAATATATTATGCCAGTTAATACAGCAAATAGATTACAAATGGCTGCAGATTCAACTTCTCTTGTACCAGGCGGGTTTAGTTTTAGCTTCCAAGGATCGGGGGAAGTCAATGATCTTGGAACAGGTACCAACACTGACATGACAAATAAAAACGTACCATCCCCACAATCCCCATCTGAGGGATATGAAAGTGATATGTTTTTAAATAATGCTTGTTCAAGTCCGACATACGAACCACACGATTTTGCTATGGCCAGTAAACCATCCTCTAAACCATGCCCGAAAATATCTGGATATGAATATGTTCCAAGTTCCAATCCAAGTTCGCCACAAATTGTTCCAACTGAAGGTAATGACTTGGATTAACTACGAGAATTTGGTAATGATTTTCGCTGAGAGAACTAAAACGTAAGCTTTACCATCATTAGATAAAGAGACATATAGGGTGTGTATAAATAACGGGAATCCTCGATTCAAATGCAATTTTGAAATGTATGTGTTTAGATTCATTCGAAAGCTTAGCCAGTCAGCTTTTCAAAAAGTTACAATAAAGGGTGGACCATTAGATGTCTTGTGAGGGTAGTGGGTGGCAGATCCCAAACAGTGGAATTTGAAAAAACGTCATAGAAGCATTTAGGGAAAGAGACAAATTCCTTCAGCTACATATACAGAAATATATACAAAAAAATATTTCTGCATGCACAGCTTATATACCAGCAACAATCTTAAAAAATTATTGCAAGGAGGAAAATTTCCCTTCCATCCCTGCTAGGATATCTACTGTAATGGTCCACCCTTAATTCTCACTTGTCATATTATATAAAAAGAACAAGCTTTTAAAAAGATAAAAAAATTTAAAAGGATTGCAATTTGCAAAACAATTAAGCATAAAATATGGTTCCTGGGTTTAATGTACACTGCGCATAAATACAATTGGCTTATTGTATACACAGCAAAAAATCATTTTCTTATTAAGAAAAAAATTTCTTAATTTAAGAAAAAAAATCTTAAAATAAGAAAATAATTTTCTTAGTAAGAAAAAATTTTCTTTAAATAAGAAATTTTTGAATCCCAAGATATCTTTTTCTTAAAATAAGAAAAAATTTTCTTAATAAGAAAACATTTTCTTAAAATAAGAAAATACGATTTTCTTACTTTCTTAATAAGAAAACATTTTCTTAAAATAAGAAAATACGATTTTCTTACTTTAAGAATATGTTCGTGAGACAAGAAATGAAATTCTTAAAATACAAAGTTATAAAATAGTAAGACATTATTACTTAAATTTTCGAAGCAAGAAAATGTAAAATGCTAGTGTTATAGGACAACTTATATCTTAACAAGACTTAGAACAACGTATATCTTATTGCGTCAGGTAAATTTGTAGTTTTTATTTCGAATTGAAGAGACTATATGACCGGCAGCTCACGGTTGATCAAACACTTAATGGTCGGCAGTACATTGACTATATAGTTAAAGTTGAATCTTCAGTATAAGATAGATAAACCGATCCCTAATCCCAAACCCTTCTCTAACCCTAACCCCTAACCCCTAACCCATGTTTTTCTTGCAAAATTTGTAGACGACTTCGAAGAAGACTGTGGCATTTCTATTGAACGAGAACTTGAAAAAATGGAGAGAGTTTTACAGGATGGCGACTGTGATGACTTGAAGGGTAAGCTATCTATGTTGTTTTAGTATACACTATTGCATACACTCAACCAAGGACCATTACAAATTCAGCATTCTGCATAAATGGCTACTCAACCAGGGATCATTATACGTAACGGGCCACGGTTGAGAAAAGATGGCGGAAAATTTTTGTTTTGCAAATTTTCGGGGGAATTTTGTTAAAAATGCTTTCCCCCGAAGAGGAAAAAAGACTACAAAATATTATCTTACGACGTTCAATGTTATGGGAGCGAACTTTAAACCGTATTTTTATAATAATAAATCTGCTGTTATATCTTCCATAAAATGTGACACGAAGATAGGCGGAATTGCTGAGCACATTTTTTGTGCATACTACAAGCAAAACCGTTGAAATTTTAGATGCTTGTTGTTACTTGATCATATGTTTACCGCTCGTTTTTTAAGTATTTAGTTGTCCAAGATTGTTGATTACAGTAATATTTTAAATAATATTTTCAAATCCGACTATATGAGGACTGGACTAGATTTCAAGTCCGCGCAATTTGATCAAGCCCGAGGCCAAGTCGAGGACTAGATCAAAATGCGAGGACTTGAAATCTAGTCCAGTCCGAGGATTTGAAATGACATCTCATACGAATATATCACTAGTGACTAGCTACTTAAAGTAAAGTGAATTAATTTTGATCCAGTCCTAGGACAGTATTATCATGTGAGCAAAATAAAGCAATATGGAGGTTAGCTAATTTACTCATGAATTATTAATGAGTTTGAGATGGCTTTTTCCCCCTTTAAAAAGGGTCTTTTTTGTGCTTCGACATTTCCGCCTAAAAACAACTTTCCTTAAGCTTAATTCGAGTTTTGCGATAAAATGATTAAAATCTAAATGTCAAACTTTGTCTATGCATTTCGGGTGATCACAGTTATTTTGTCTTGTATTTGATCGATTTCAACGACATTAGGATTGCATTGCGTTCATTTTATACGTCTTTTTACGTAAACTATACTGCAACATTTCAGGAAGCCATATTGTTTACAGTTTGAAAACATCTCATAATTCTGGTCTTTTAAATCTTGTAGTTTTGTCCTCTTATAATTACCAAAACGGCGCTTGTATTGTTGAACACTCGAAAAATATTTTCAAGGCTCACGAGCTGGGATTTTTTTTACTTTTCCGGGTTGTTTGCACAAAGTAAACAAAAAAACTGCAGGCGACGGTTGAAAGAGATCATTTAAACGCTCGTGGATGTATTATACTCAAACAATTAAACAACTGGGCTTTGTTGTCTAATTGTTAAATGGTAAGTGCAGCGGCCTTAATGTTGAAAATGATAATAAATTCTTCACCTTTGAGAGGGTTGATGCTGCGTGCAGTTCCTTGAACTCCTTGAAGTGCTTAAATTGAAAAATCAATTTCAAGGGCTCTTGAAAAGCTCTTGAAAAAACAAAATGTGTTAAACGACCTTGGAAGGTGCTTGAAAATCAACTTCGTACCATGCAAAGTTCCCGTGTTTATTATGCTCTGGTTGCTTGAAAATCACGCAACATACAAATTAAATAAAAAATGTATCTAATCTGACATTTTCATCATTTTCAATTTAAATTTATCATGCAAATCAATCTCGAAACCAGAGCCCGCAATCCTATGTGCAGGCTTGCTGAGGGTCTGGGAAACACCGGCGACTTTTGCACGAAAATCATCCTCGTCCCCAGGCCCAAGCTCGGGCGGCCCTCACAGTGGGGGCCGCCCGAGCTTGGGCCTGGGGACGAGGATGCACGAAAATCAGTACATTTGGATCCAGTACTCCGCTCGACATTTATAAATAGACATTACTGCCGTCAAACAACGTCAAACATGAATTATGCCGTTGTTTAAGCTTATTACGACTTTAATTCTTCAAAGAACACTTGCCATGGTTTTGAATTGTTGTAAGATACTGGTAGTGATTTATTTTAACTTGTTTAATTACGGTAAATCATGGATTGTTGTGTTATTTTAAATATTATAGGCAACGGCTTATCATGACCTAATATGGTAATGCTGCACTGTTGTTATTCTAATTTTGTTATTTATAGCATATCAATATCAGAAATAGAATAGTCTTTTGATTTCATGATCATATGAGAAGCTAGGAAAGCTTAATAAGTTTATTAATGTTATGCTGTGTGTTTAATTGATATGTTTAAACATAATACACAAAGAGAAATAAACTTTATATTAATTTTAAACGATGTTTGAAATCCGAATAACTAAATACGACTCAATGTTTGAATAATAATTAGCACTTGAAAAACTTTGAGGGCCGCTTGGGCCTGGGGACGAGGATGTTGAAAAACAACCAATCAGAGCCCGACTTTCACCGGTGTTTCCCAGAGCCTCAGCAAGCCTCCACAGAGGATTGCGGGCTCTAGTTTCGAGATTGCATGCAAATATTCTATGAAAGTCCTTACCAGACCCCCTACAGATTTGTCCGTGAGATATTGTACTGAGATTAGAAAATAATGGTTGGACGTTTTAGCATGCAGCAATAGTCGTATCGATTCGAGCGAGAGGCATCATCCATGTTGGTAACATGTAACTACCCAGAAGTGCAGAAAATGGGGTTTATGTGATGCGCACATGATTGCCTCTAGTCAAGGGAAAGGATACATACAACTATACAAGGTCCAGAAAAGATGTGCAAGATTGATGCTAGATTTTTAAGTCAAACTCTTTACTGAATTAGATTGACTTCCTATTTATGACGTCATAAGTAATAGAAAGCTATACATGCAATATGTTAACAAAATAATCTTAGGGCATTGTCCTGCTAATTCTACTAGCTCAAATGCACGCCACCTCAAGGACTGTCATAGGACAAGAGCCTCGAATAAAAACAATATTCTAGCTGATGCCCAGACATAAAAAAGTAATCTGGTTCCAGGAGGTTTCATACCAGTGCTACTCGCTTCTGGAATAACATCGACATCTCAGCTCGAAATATATTTCACATAAACAATTTTTGAATCAAGTACATCAGAAACTGTTAGAACAAAACAGTAAGATAGAACATTTTAACATTAAGAAAATATCTTAATTACCTCGGGTCGGTACGACACCGAGGTCATAAATTCGGCTCCTATTTTTTTTTTTTTTCCATTTGTGTCGAGCCGCGCGCGTAGTCGAAAGGACTGCGGAGGAGACGACAACTTCCGGTAAATAATGTACTTCCGGAACATTTCAAGCATCAGCCAAAGCGAAACGGAACCCGAAGCTGTTCTTGCACAAAATCCGACAAAATTGTTGATTTAAAGCCAGAAGATGTGATAATTTTGACACACATGTTTAGCTGGATAACTATTCTCGAGTATATGTTGATATAATGCACAATACTTCGTATGCATAGCATGGGAATACCGCGGCCAACTTTTACTTGTTATCTATTATAATTACTGACCCGAATCAAAAGTAATTCTTTTCGGCTGGAAGACTACAGTTCATTGCTGCTTGTCGGGACCGTTTGACAATGAACCTATCCAACGTTACACTAGACATTTGTGAGGACATGCATATAGACATAACCATAGGCACTGTAGTGCATCGTGATAGGACAGTTTTCAGTTTATAGGTAATTAATCGCCCTAAATTAAAATCTCCACAAGCGGAGGTCAATTATAGTGTTCTAGTTTACATATTATCATTAATGATAAGGTTAATTCAAATAGCGTATTGAACTGGATAAACACGGGAATAGAACTTATGGTGTGTTCTGCACATGCGTATATCTAGGATAAAATCCCACAAGTGCAAACGAAACTATTTCTCTATAAAACTGAACTGAAAGGAATCACAGCGACCGAGTGCTTCAGGCACCCGATGATACTGTATGAGGGGCCTTTAGCACTGTCACCTTCTCATCTTGGGATGTTCACGTTCTCGCGTGAACATGTCAGGGTGACGAAGATGCATTATTGCTAATAATGTCTGTGTGCACTGATGCACGCTGCATTATTTTTAATAATTTTTAATAATGCTGTGTGCTATTTTAACCCGTATAAACGTTTACCCCTGGGCCGGAATTTCCCTACAATCAAAAAAGAGCGCTCCCGTTTTTCAGTAGAACGTTAAATGAAAACTTCTCGATATTCGCTGATATAATGCAGAGAGAAAACAATAGGTTTGATGAGGGCCAGTAATTATTATCAATAAAATGTTAAAGCGGAGCTTTGATTGACTGATTCACCATTTATACTAATGAACTATTAAACTATCGTGATTTACACGATTTTTGCATATTTACCAGACGATGCCATATCCACCGACCCGAGGTTAACGCCGAGTCGGCGTCTTGTTAAACATGTATTGAATAGGTTGGATTAATTAGGAACAATAATAAGCAATTATTGGATGAGGCTGAGCATGATATCAATAATTATTCAGACCGAGGTCAATGTTATCTGCCGAAGCGAAGCTGAGGCGGATAACATAGACCGAGGTCTGAATAATTCTTGATATCATGCGAAAGCCGAATCCAATAATTGTTTTATTATACATTTAAAGACATGAGAAACGTATAAAACGATTCCTGTTCATGAGGTAGGAAAAGTCCAATTTGAATATCAAACACCTTGCACAAAGTCAAAGGTTAGCTAAATATTCTATTTCTACTTCTATTTACCCCTTTGTGGCTTTTTTCGTGCTTTCACTATCCTTATCTGCCAATAATTTGGAGAGTTCACTTTCATTCGGTTAGCACTTTTTTCCACCCAGCAAACCGCCCTATCGATTTTGTAAAGTCGTTTCTTTTTGGATTTTTTTATTAATTCGGTTAGGGAAAGGGTTAGGGTTAGAGTTTGGGTTAGGGTTAGGGGTTAGTGTAGGGGTAGGGTTTGGGTTAGTTACATAGCCATTTAACACCTCTTCTATCTTGCGAAAATGACGTCAGGTCAGTTTACTGGATGGAAAATAGTGCTAACCCTTCAGCGAAGCAAATCATTCTGCTGTAGGCCATTGTTTGTTTGTTTTTTTTTCGCGCCCTTATAGGT